CATGAGACCCCAGCAAAGGAAAACAAGCCAGCTTATTATACCTATAAACACCATGCATCTAAGGATGTACTATCTTGGTACATCATAAATTACATTTCAGTGTCCAAAACTCTGCCAGTTTCCACAGACATCCATCTGGTACCAGTTAAAAGCCTATTGGTGACATGAAGATCACCAGTACTGGAGGCTCCGCAGTTTTCCTAAATGTCAACTCCGTTGCTTCATTCTCCTTAACATTATGAAGTTTTCCAGATTGTCTAGTCTAAATCTTCCTTGATACAAGTCTGTTCTAACTGCAATCAACAGGAAGAAAAGATTATATTCTGCTACTTAGCAGCATCTTTTACATGCTTGAAAACCATTACTAACCCCTATACCTGATCTCCTCTAAGCTAAACACAGTCATTTAGTTCTTCCTAGTAAATACGTCCTAGATTTATGATCATTTGCTCTGGTCCCTTCTGGATTTTCTCCAGATATTCTACATGTGTTTAAAGTGTGGCACTTTATTATCAAATCCTGAGATGAATTTAATTAGCATTTAATTAATGCAAAAAGATCAGTTTCTGTTTCTTGCAAGCTATACCCTTGTTTATATTTCCTAATCTGCCTCTTCTTTCAAATTGCTGAGCTGGTGAAATGGAACACAACCCAGACTCCTCTCTGAACAAACACGTACTTAGGCAGTTCACATCCTTGTCTCAAAGTCGTATCTTGCACTGACCCTTGTTCAAGTACATTTTTTTCCCAGAACATTTCTCCAATTTGTTAACACCATTTTTTATTTTTATCCTGTCCTCTAACATAAGTGGGGGAAAAAAACCAAGTTTGGTGTTTTCGAATACAGTAAGTTCTCTGTTTCATTAGTGAGGTGATTAGGGAAAACAATGAACACTGGACTCAAGGACAGATCCCTGTTGAATCCTGTTCTATACATTCTTCCATTTTGACAGGCAAATCTTTTATAATTATCCATTTCTCTTTTTAGATTTTTCTGTAAAATTTACTTCATTTGCTGCTCCACTGAAATTACACACTGAATTCTCTTCATGTTTGCTACTAGTTTCAGATCAACTGTTGTTTTTATTAATAAATTACTTTTGAAAAATATCACCTAAATTTACGATCTCTCTCTCATGAGACTTACAGTCTTGCTTATAATGTGAAGTGGGAGTTTTTCCACAGAAAGTGTATCCCAGTGTTTTAATGAATAATAACTCATAGTACTCATCTATATTCTATTTTCATTGAAAAGATGTGTCGATGTATAGTAATGATGCAAATCCTAAATACATTATGCAACTTATGCAATATGGAATATACTTCCATAAAAGTCTATATACCCTAGCTCTTAATGATAAAAAGGTTTTCTAACTTTTCTTGTAAAAAAAAATCCTTACACTGTTGTGAGGGAATGTTTATTTAATGATTATTAAATGGTATTGACCAAAAAGCATAGCTAGCCTAGCAACTGTTTATTTACCTGCATATATTGAATTGCAAACTACCATAACACCTTTACCATGCTGGCATTGTAAGTGTATGTTAACAGGCTTAGCAGTTTATAGCAATGTTCCTTGTAATTGCATGTTATGGAACCAAGGCCTGGCATAGACAAATGTAGAAAAAGCGGTCATGACATAGCACGATGTCAAAAGTAGTACCACTTTGTCAAAAAAGATATAAATATATATTCTGCTTAAAGCTGAAAAGATTAAAAGATATTTATTAATATCAGAAATTTCTTATATAAAGCTTTGCAACATCTGACTGTAGTATCCTGGAAAATCAGGAGCACCTTATGCAAAACTACAGATTTCAAATGTCTTTTTTTAAAAAAAATTTATAACACTGCACAAGTTTAAATTATCTAACTAGTGATGCTCAAGACATTGATCTCGGACCTGCAGAACAATAAAGAGTATTTTCAGACAACACTTCAAGATGAAATGTTAGTGATACAGCAGTCAATAGTAATTGATTTCAATTGAGCAGTATGAAGTAGTTATCTTTTTCTTGTTGCTTTTCTAAAGCACATGCATGAAAATTTGGTTGGGGATGCACACAACTTCAAAAATTCATAACTGCTTATTTTGAAATAAATATTTTTGATGTTTTCCCACAAAGTTGGAATTATTTTATTTTTATTATATAGAACATATTTAGGAAAGAGTATTGAACAAAATATTGGACAAAATTTAGGACACAGTAGCTTCAAGCTGTATTTTTGAACCTTCTTTTTCTTTTTTAAAAAAAAAAGGCATTCATTTGCCAGAAACATGAAATATTTTTATTTAATCATATAGTCACTGTCTTTTCAGAGCCTATGTCATTGAGGACTACTTAAAAAATACATGTAGATTTATCTTGCTATAAGGTAACCTGTAGAACATCAATTCTAGTTGGTTGTTTTTTGTTTGTAAATAATGGCTTTCTATAACTGAATTTAATCACAAAGTTGGACATATATGGCAAAAGATTTAGGTCTGATGTTTTTATTTCTTCAATATTGTGATAAGAAAACAATATGGATAATACATATAATATATATAATGAACTTCATGTTCATTAAATTCGGTTTAGGAGTTCATTGTATATTATCTCTTATAAAGTGACTGTATACAGTGATACACAATTATAAATCCAAGACAAACCACAAAGTGTCTCTCTCACACAAAAATTTGTTTGAAAATTGGCATAGTATGTAGCATGACATCCTACTAATATATATAAAAAATGAAGAGGAAAATACACATTTTTATCTGATACTTTCATTCATTTTACCGTCCCTATAATCAGGTCCAGAAGTAGTACAATGTAGAAAGTGAACCTAAATATCTTCTGATATTTCAACTTTAAAATGTGGTCAGTGTTATGCCAGGGTAACTTTCCAAGTCCCAAAAGAAATGAAAGAGCAATGTAACTCCATTTTATAAGGTATTTCATTGAGAAGGTTGAGTTCACTTATGTTTTGTTTAATATGCTTTATTTTTGTGAAAAAGAGATACAGATCTGAAATTGAATTTTAGAAACTCCGGTGTGGGAATTTGTTTCTATTTCAAAATCAGCTTCTACATAAACTTTAAAATTAAGGTCATTATGCTTGTAGAAGCTTAACACATGTTCCATAGCCATTTCTGGTACAGCTTTGCTTAGCCGGGGTATTTACTACCATACAAATATTCTATCACATTAACACACATCATACATGCAGTGTTGTGCTTTATTACATCCTTGCCAGATGAAGAACAAGGAATAGCTATTAACCTGTGATTGTTGGGACTAAATAATGAGTATGGTAGGTAAGCTGTCTGAACAAGGAAAGTATTTTTATGGGTGTTTTCTGCCAAGGGCTTGTGAAGAAGAGAGTAGGAAATAACCAGAAAGAGAAGACAGAAGACAAGTCAGAAGACAGATTCCCAGAGCCCCTGAAGAAGTGTTAGGGCAGCAAAAGAGAAGCATTTTTTCAGTATGGGAAGTTCTGCTTAAATGCAAGACTAGACCTGCCAGAGCAAATCAGCCTAGAGCAGAGAAAAATAGTCCCATGATCTGGGGCACCTAAAAAAATGTGTCAGGTGAGTAAGGGAGAGGAGCAAATCCACCCACCAACTACAGACTGTGACAAAGGAATGCATTTATCATGTTTCCTTAGATTATTTATTTCCTCTTGCTACCTGAGTACAAAGTGATTTCTTCTTCGGAATCCCACAAAGTTTTAGCATACCAGGTGCTAAATTTCAAGTAGAATACTCTGTAGGGGAGGAGTGGAAGATCCATCAGTAGGCAACTAGCACATTTCTGTTCACACCTTCTAGTTCTGCAAGTTGGCAGAGGCATTAACTGAATCTTGTTTTCACTCCACTGATGACCAAACACTTTCACTCACAAATTCCTACACATAGATCAAAATATTGTGACAAGATAAAGAACATCAGAAATCACTGTTAATGTGGAGGTGGGGTATGAAACGAGGGTTATCTTTAATAATAAAGGATGACAGCGGCAACAGTAACAAAAACAAAGAGCAAATCTAAAACCCACCTCCTGCCATTCAAAAAAATTTATTTTTCTTTACACCAGCTGCCATTTCTAATTTTAGGTTGGGTCTTCTCTTCCTCTGTTTTAATCACAGTTTCTGAACTCACATCTTCACTCGTTCTTTCTGGTTTTAACGTCCTCTTTCTGTTCATCTCTTTGCAGTCATCTTCCTCATCCTTGATAACATCAAGTTTCCCAATAAAGTCCAGTTTAAGCTCTTAATTCTCTGGCTTCTTTGTCCTTTTTTTCCTCATTTGCCATTCAACTCTGAATTAACCCATTAACTATCAAAGTAGACATAATACCAGCTCCTTTTTTATTGCACAGTGGCCTGACACTCCTGGCTTTCTATGAATCATTCCCTCTTCAAGTCACCATTTGATTTCTTTTAGTATCTTTATCCGCTATAGTTCTTGCAGACTTAATTCAGCAGCAGAATTCCTGATGTATAGATTATTTTATAATCCCTCCTGTCTTTTTATTTATGCCCATTAAGATACTGATTCCTGACTCTCAGGTTCTACAGCCTCAGTCCTTTGCCCCTCTCTCTACAATGTTGATCATTCTAGCCTAAGTTTTAAATCAAACTCAGATTCTTCTGGTTTAGCAACCCTTCAGTTACTGAATAGGCTGGAAGAAATCCCTTAACCATGCTGAACAAGAAATTCCCCTTCTTCCTTAGTTCTCCTGCCACGCCCCCACCATCCCCATTATTCCTACTTTTCTGCACGTTATACAGTCCTATTACAGTTGCACAGTTGTTCTCCTCCATTTCACCTTCTCTTTTCTTCTTTTCACCAGCAGGTCTGTTCACTTAAATTGAAAAAAATACTGTTTTTTAAAAGCCTGTTAATGTTATTTCATGAATATCAGCTTTGCACAGTCCTGAATGTACACAGACAGTACAATGCAATCACCATGTGCTACACAAAGGAGGAAAAAAAAAATCCCAAAGCATTAAAAACATTTTAAAATATATTTACTAATTTCAAGATTCTTAGCCATTCACTGTATGCATTTACACAGCATCACTACGGAAGAGTGCTCCTTCTAAATAAAATACCCCAGGCATTTATTCCTTTCGCTATCCATTTCTTCAGTTTCTAACTCATAATGTTTCATGGCAACAAAGTATCGGATAAAAGTTTCACCTAATGCTTCCCTGATGCACGAATCTTTCTCAAGGGCAACAAGAGCATCTTCTAGTTTCAGAGGGACTAACGAATGTTTTAGATCAGCAGCGTGATTTTCTTCTTGGAGCATATCATCATACCTAAGTCCTCTCTTTACTCCATCTAGACCCGCAGCAATAGTAGCAGCAAGCACCAGGTAGGGGTTTGCTGTAGCAGAACTTAATTTATTCTCTATGTGAGTGCCTTTTCCACCATGAGATTTGACATTAAAGGCACAGCTGTTATCATTATATCCCCATTTTGCATTTACAGTCTCTTTTGATTCTTTACTGTATTTAGAATAAGGCTTACGGCAGCTGGTGGTAGGAGCCATCAAGCAGCTGATAGCTGCTGTGTGTGCCAAGAGACCTGATAACCAATTTTTTCCAATATCTGAGAGCTCCTCAACTCCATAACCAGCAGAAAACAAATTCTTCTGGCCATTCAAATCCCACAGGCTATGTGACAGAGCCCCTGAATTGTAGAATCCCGATTCTGAGAAAAAGCTAGCCACGTAGTTATACTTCTTAGCCACCTCTTTAATGCCTGTTCTAAAAGTGAAGGCACTGTCAGCAGCATCTATGCCAAACGCTGGATGAAAAGTGATCTCCATTTGCCCAGGCCCACTGGAAGAAGAAAAGCTTTCAATGTTGGCACCAGCATAATACATTCCTTCAATGAGCTCCTGAATGAAAGTCTGGTCATGGTTATTTAGTATCGTGGCTGCGGGAAAGGATATTGTCTTCGAATTTACAACCTCAGTAATGCCATAAATACAAAATTCGTAAGTGAAGGCAGAGTGTAGAGAAAAGCCATTGTCCTGAAGCTGGCTCAGCTGTTTCTTGGCAATGTGCCTCGGTGAGGTCATTAGCGGGTTGCCCAGCACAGTGAAGGAATCACATATCACTCTCGCAAACTGCTCAGTCCAGGGCAGAATTCGAAACGTTGATAAATCAGGGTTCAGGATTATGTCACAATTAAAACTGGTTGCATTTATGTAATCTAATTCATTATCTTTGGGATTCAGGGTCAGCTCAAGATAACTTCTGGGCATGGCAACACCATGAATTGCTTTCTCCTAAACAGAGCAGAATGACAGATTACCAAATGAGAAGAGAACACAACAATATTTTTATGTAAGTGAAATATATAAAACTCAGATTCTCAGTAAGAACAATAGTATTTTTCCTAAAAGAACACTAAAAAGTAATGGTCGCTAAAGTGGAGGGCAACAGCCAGTTACTGTGTCATTATGAAGCAGAACAACCTTCTACAAGATTGGTATGAAAACCCTGGCATCAAGTTTCCCAATGACCATTTTTTAAATTTCCATAAAGAACTGAAAAAATGTTCAAAACTTACCTTGAATGGTCTTTATACAATTATGGGCATCACCAGTTAGGTGCAAACTTTGCAAGTCAAACTTCTATCTATAGTTACTCTATAAGGCTTTAATATCCTCTGAGCATTTCCTTTACACAGATCCAAGTGACCACACAAGACTCATGGCAATACGAATTCAGGTTGTGACTTCTCTTTATATGCCATAACACATACCTCACCATTGTTCAGATGCAAAGTTTAACTGAAAATTCTTTGGACTTTTTGGACTTAATAAGTTTGGGGGTAAAATACAGGGAAGCACTTCCATGTGAGAAATTATTCTAGTGTTTCAGTACTCCCGTTCTAGATAGCAAACAGGATAAACTTATAATTGTACTTTCTTCTCCATTTGAACAGAGAGCTTCAGCTTACACAAATGAAATTTGTGTAATTTCCAGGACAACCAGGGGATCAGGCCCAGC